TCGGCGGGGAGGAGCGTGGCAGGGGCGGCTGGGTCAGAGCCGCGGGTTCTCACTCCAGCCTGGTTCTGGGAGCCTCGCGCCTCCTTCGCCAGCCTCCCTGGTGTCATCCCATGTAAACCCCAAACCCAAGGCCAGTTTGTCACCCGTTGCCTCCTGTTCTCGTCCTGGGCCCCCCCCTGCAGACTTCGTCACCATTGTCCTGAGTGTGAGACTGGGGTTTAAACGGCGCGCGAGGCACCTGCCGCAGTACACAGCCGCCGGGGCAGGGCATGGGTTGGTGTAAAGTTTCTGTGAGTTCAGTGTCTAGAATTTCAGGGTTTCCCAACCTATGGGTCGGGACCCAAATATGGGTCGCCATTACATTTCAAAAGGGTCACCGAGTGTCTCCCTAGGTGTCTCTGCCCCCCCACATCTACCCCCCCTCCCACTTTTGAATTGCCCTGGGTCACCAAGTCTTCTTGAATTGTCAAAATGGGTCCCCATCTGGGAAAGGTTGGGAACTGCTGGGATGCAGCTAAAACTCCACCAAAAAGCAGGTTCACACAAGCTGTTGCCCTGCCGAGCCACCAGAGTGCACAAGCCCTGCTTGGCTGAGTGAGGAGAGAGGGATCGGGGCTTTGCCTGGCCCTGGTTGCAGGCCAAATCCTGCTGGAACATTAGCCATCGTTCTAAGCAGCCTCGAAGTGGCGAAAGCCCCTTTGCTCAGAGACTGGACAGCGGCTAGAACATGCACTCTAGGGAACAGTGGTGTGCTGCTTGGTGGGAGTTAGGCACCAAGGTCCAGACCCTGAAAGGAGCCTAACTCCCATGGAAACCAATAAGCTCCTAAACACTTTTGAGGACTAGAGCCTTGGGCATCTTTCTGAATCCTGCTTAGTGTCCGTGTACATCTTTAGGAGCCTAGCAGAACTGGCTCTTCAGCTGCTCTGCAGTGATGGATGGGAGTCGCGTCCATCTCTCAGTTCTCTGGCAACCAAGGTCCAGACCCTGAAAGGAGCCTAACTCCCATGGAAACCAATAAGCTCCTAAACACTTTTGAGGACTAGAGCCTTGGGCATCTTTCTGAATCCTGCTTAGTGTCCGTGTACATCTTTAGGAGCCTAGCAGAACTGGCTCTTCAGCTGCTCTGCAGTGATGGATGGGAGTCGCGTCCATCTCTCAGTTCTCTGGCACTAGGGCTCAGTAATAATACTTTGCGCTTGCATTTTCTCTCACTGGAGGATCTGAAAGTACTTTGTGGAGGTGAATCATGGAGAAAGATGATTGAGCTGACATCCCACAATGAGTCAGTGACTGCAAACCGGAGTGCAGACTTTCTTTGCACCCTGCTGGAACAAATACTTTCTGTTGCCCATAACAATTCTGGGAGTCAAAAGCCCAGCTTCCGGTCACACTAGGTTGTAGCAAGGGCCTTTTGGATAAAATCTTGCTTACTTTTCTGCTCTGGTTGCCTAAGAGCTAAGATTGCCAGCCAGTGATATGCAGCCCTCAGAGTCCAGCAGGCTGGACAGTGGTGAGTGGCTTTGATCAACAGGAAACTGATGAAGGAAATGAGATTAACTGGTTCTGTCTCACCAGCTGGGTGTAACAGCTCTAGCATTGCAACCTCCCCTCTTGCTTTCTAGGTGCTGTCTGCTGCTCTGGAAGGCATGGGGGGAGCACAGTCCCTCGGGCTGCCCCATGGGAAAGGACCTCACCGGGTGGGCTGCACGGATGTGATGGTGGGCCACAACCGGAAGGTACAGTTCTGAGCACCGTTTGCGGTTCGGGGTTTGCGTCTCACTAGCTGTGCCAGCGTGACACGGGATCAGCAGATAGGAGGGCAATGGTGTTTCAAGCTACAGGTTGGACCTCGCTGGTCCGGCACACTCGGGACCTGACTGGTCCCTGATGAGGGAATTTGCCAGAGAACGAGAGGTCCCCTGACACCAGCCCTCTACCCCTCCCTGCTGCCGGCTCCTTCAGCCTGGGCCCCAACCTGGCTCCACTGCTGGGTGACATGCTGCCCAGCTGGGCTGGTGCAGCCTCAGCCCTGCTGCCAGGCTTCCCCTCCTGGGCTGCCATGGTCCTAGCTCCACTGCTGGGCTGCCACCCAGGCTGCCCCAACACCGCTGCTGCCCAGGCTGCTGCGGCCCTGCTGCTAGCAGACTTGCCGAGCTGCTCCGGGCTCCCAGCTGCTGGCCCTCCTGCTCCGGGCGCTCTCGTCCAGGAACATGCTGAACCATGGATGTTGCCAGAGGAGTCCCGGTTTAGGGAGGTGCCGCCTGTGTTGGATGGTTTGTTTTCCTGGAACTGCTCTTGCGCCAAGCCCTGCGTATGCAGCAGCTGGCCCTTGCGGTTGCCTGCTCCGTGACTCAAGGTCAGTGTGAGGACTGGCTGGGGTGAGGCAGGATTCCCTGCTGACTCCACTGGATTCTTTCCTTCTCCTTCCACTGGGCAAAGGACTATAAGACCGGACCCAGGACTTCCTGGGGCACTGAGTCTTTCTCCTGCCAGAGGGGCAAGTCCCATCATCTCCTCCCCCACCCAATCAAACTGCCTCTTGAGCCCCGTTAGGCTGCCATTGCACATGGCTCCAGTTCTTCTTTACTAAGCACGACTGTGCGCGGCGCCTCGCGGCTGGGCAGCGAGCTGTGTCCCTGCCTCGCAGGGCTCGCGGTCCGAGGTCTCGGCTTCACGGAGGCTTTGCCCCCCTTCCTGCAGCCATTGGCCAGCCATGGATAGAGCAGCATGTGTGCAAAGGCCAGGCCCCGAGAGGGAAAGCCAGGTTTTGCCCAGCTAACCCTGGCTTGAGCCCGGGGCACGCGGGGGGCGAGCTCGGGTCCTGCAAACCGGAGCCTGCCCGGTCGCTGCCTTGGGCTGCACCACAGCTGGGATCAGGGCCCATTCCCAATGCTACGAACAGGACAGGACGTGCAGGGAACCCGGGGGACAGCTGCACTGAGCTGTGTTTAAGTGGCTGCAATGAGCTTGCTTCCTGTGGCGTCCCAGAAGGGGATTGCTTGTGTGACAGTAGCACACCGGGGCACCAAGACTTCCTGTGCTACGGCCGCATTGCAGCGTAGTCCCTGCCCCTGCCGCTGTGGCTGGGGGATGGGTGCGTGTCCCCCGGCTGGGGCAGGTCCAGGTTCATTTGCCCCCTGCACTGCCCAGCCAGAGTGAGGAATGCAGCAAACTGGGCACTTTCCCTTCGCTCCCTGCCAAAGGGGAGCAGCCAGCAATGTCCCTGTATGAGTTCAGGGGAAGGGCTGTAGCCCCCGCCCTCCCTGAAGGGCACCTGGGAGGGGGCAGCTCAGTCCTGGAGCAGTCGTGGAGGGAGGAGGCACGCCCCAGCCAGCCCCTTCACCTGTCGGGTGGTTCTGTCTGTTTTCTGTTTAGTTTGATGAGACGCAATCCCATTCCGGGCACTTCCTGTTTCCCTGGCACAACCACACCCGGCCTTGCTTTACGTGAGGATAAGAGGAAGCGGTGTGGGGACTTGGGGGGCCTTTAGGAGGCGTCTTGATCGTACTGACAGACAGACCCCCCGATACACAGCAGAGGCTGCTCGGCCCGAGGTGAGATGGGATGTGTCTCGCCTGCGATATTCCTGCCGCAATCGTCCCTTCTCTTCTTTAGGGGCTTTTCTTCCGGTTGTTTTACCCCTGCCTTCCCCAGGAGGGGGCAGAGCAGCCTCTCTGGATCCCGCGCTATGAGTACTGCCAGGGGCTGGCTGACTACATCAACCTGAACAGGAAGTGGTGCACCCCGCTGCTCAGCGTGACCTTCGGTGAGGGAGCTGATGGCCTCAGATAGAGCTCACCCCCCCGGGGCTGCCCGGACTCCACCTGCTGCCAGAACGGTCCCCTCAGCCCGTACGCAGGAATTGGGGGGTGAGGGGGCTTCCTTTGTAAATGTGGACCGCAAGGGTGTGAACGCCCCCCACGGACCCCAAGTAAGCCTGCTCCGGCCGGCCGGGGGAAGGCCTCTTCCCCCAGGAGCGAGGCCCAGCCCGGCCCCCTGGCCTCACTCCTGGGGGAGGAGGGAATCAGCCCCAGCCTTCCCTTGGTCAGCCAGCGCAGGGGAGGAGGCTGGGGCAATGTGCCGGAATCAGCCCCATGGAGGACTGTGCGGGGGTGCGTCACACCCCTCGCGCCCCCCCGTCCGTGCTAGCTGAGCAGTGCTTCCCGACTGCCAGGCTCTGGGAGCCGGGGCTGGGGTACCCAGCGCCTCCCCTCCCGCCACAGCTGTTGGGAGAGGCGTGTCCTGCCCCACCTCTCAGCCAACCAGCACTGGGCAGGGGCGGGGTCTCCCGGACACAGAAGAGCAGATCGCTGCACTGGCAGCACAGAGCTAGATGCGGGGGGGGGGGCTTCAGGGTCAAAGGTAGTGCTGGGGGCCTCTTGGGGTGGGGGTCTGTAAGAGGTGGGGGGCTGGCACTGGGGGAGTTCTGCGGATGGGGCTAATATTGGGGGCTGGCACTGGGAGGGTAGGGTGCTGGGGGGCTCTGGAAACGGGGCTGGCACTGGGGGCTCTGGTGGTGGGGGGCTGGCCCTCAAGTGTTTGCATTGGGGGCTGGCACTGGGGGGCTCAGTGGGGGGCTGGCACTGGGTGTGGGTAGGTGCCGGGGACTCCGTGGTCAGTGGCTGGCGCTGGAGGGTAGTGGAGGGCTGGGGGGGTCTAGGAGTTAGGGCTGGCACTGGGGTGCGGATGTTTGCCTGGGCTCCGCAGTGCTTGGCTGCTGTCCTGCGCTCCAGAGGTGGCTGCATTTCAGCGGGGCGGCAGGGTGCGTTGGGTGAAGAGTGCTTAGAAGCTGTCTCTGCCCAGGAAATTGGGAGGGCCTGGGAAGATGCTCCCTCCTCTCCCGGTCGAACCCGGGGTACAGAGGATTACATGGTGAGGGGGGCAGGATGCTGAAGACCCCCAGACCCAAGGAGAGCCCGGGGGCTCCCCTGCAGCCGCACTGGCCCTACAGCACAGGACTCAGACCTTTCGCCCTAAGGCAGCTCGGCTCTCTCTCTTCTTCTGGCAGGGTCCCACAGGGTGCCCGTGAGCTGGAACGGGCCTTTGAAGTCACGTGGCAGCGGGTACCCGCTGATCATATTCTCCCATGGCCTGGGAGCCTTTCGGTAAGAGCCTCGGCCTCACGTCCGCCCCCTGTGCCCGGGCGCGTTCACCGTCGCCGGCTGCCTCTCCTGCAGCACCACTAGGATGGTCAACGAGGGCCTGCTTGACACGCAGGCCAGCCACAGGGCCGAGGGTGGGGCTTGTTGGCCATTTCTGCCCCGGCACTGGCTAAAGAGCCGCTGGCTCCCAGGCTGAGGCTGGCCCAGATCCCATCCCACCCCCAGCAAGGCTCCGGCAAAGGGCGGGAAGGCTTTGAAAGATGCCAGGCTTGCAGCCCTGGAAGCTGGAGTTCTCTGTGCACAGAGCAGGGGCTCGGCCAGTGGGCCCGATCCTCAGCTGGTGTCAATCAGCCGTGGAATCTGCATCTTCGCCTGTTTGAGAGGGACTGTCTCCAGGGAAGAGACCAGAGCTCAGTGTCCATGGCCGGTTCTGTGCCGAGTCTCGGTCCTGGGACAGCCAGCCGTGGGGGTCCGTTGTTGCCCATTGTCATCCTGGCTTTTGCGGCGTGCTCAGCTCCCGCGAGGAGCCGGCCAGACGCCCACACCGGTTTTTCACGCCAGCAGGCGATAGGTCCGCTTTGGCCCACTTCCCTGGACTTAGACTGATGACCTTGAGGTGAAAAGCGCCCAGGCTCATTACAACCCTCCTCTCCCACCCGCCGCCCAGAAAAGCCCAGGAGCTGGGGCTGCAATGGCATTGGCCGCAAGAGCTCGGCTCTCGTAGGATGAGAGCCTGTGGACCCCGGCTGTCAGAGCCGCTGACGCCCGCTGTAAGTCCACGTGTAGCACGGTAGCAATGGCTTAGTGCCTCGCTCGGGCCGTGTACAGTCACTCCGGGATACTGCAGACGCACACACGGATTGGACCATCCCAAGCCTGCTGGGCAGTGGAAGCTTGTTCACTCCTACAGATTCCTTGCCACTTTGTCTAATCTAGTTTTAAATGGTTCAAACAATGGGGCTCCCCCCCCACTTCCGTCAAGAGACAGTCTAAGAGATCTCTTGGCGAGGCAGCTTTCCCAAACACTCAGCCCCTGCGCACGCAGCGTCTCCACGTCTAGCGGGATTAGTAATAGTAACACTTGGCGTTTTTCATCTTCAGCGGGCTGTCCAGACAGTGGCCTGTGCTCTCTGCGCCGGGTGGTATCCTCCCCATTTTCTAGCTCCTGGCCTCTCGGTGCGTCCCCTGCCAGAAGTGCTGAGCACCTGCGGCGGTCAAGGGGGCTGTAGAAAGTGGGTGCAGTGACTCTGCAGGTCCCAGTGGTGGAGTCTGTGTCAGAGCTGGGGTTAGAACCCAGGACTCCTCTGCTCCGGGGCTGGGCTCAGATTGCAAGGTCAAAGGTCGGTTAAAACGGTGACTGTTGAAAGTCTCCACGGTTACACGCACCGCGAGCTCTGCTGCTTAAATAACCCTTCTACTGCGTGGCCCACAGCGAAGCCACCTCCCCGGGAGCCGGGCTGGCAGGGGCTGGCAGACTCACTCCCGGGGAGGCGGCTTCAGAGTTTAACAGGTAACGTTAGCCAACAAGCATCAGCTCAGCTCCTGTCTCTCCGACAGGGAGGCTGCTGGGGCAGGCCATTAGCGGGGGCAGGAGGGTTGCTCTGCACGAATCGCAGGATCGAGCCTCATTCTGCTTTCCCTTTGCCTCCCTGTGTTTCAGAACCGTGTACTCGGCTGTGTGCGTGGAAATGGCCTCCCGGGGCTTGCTGGTGATGGCGCTGGAGCACAGGTGAGTGGCGTCCCCTTCGGAACAGCCTGCTGCAGTCCACT